ATATAGATTGTGTTAAGGCGGACTTCAGATAGTATCGTGCTTGGTGCCATGTTTACACATAGGTAGGTACTTTCCTGTTTACGTGGTAGGACTGTATGTATCATATTTATTGTAATTTTTGCCCGCCCATAGATTTGCCAAACATAAATTCCAAATTCTTCTCAAAGCCTTCTTTCGTAAACTGAACCCAAAAACTTGTGGAAATTAGCTTTTTTAATAATTCTGATGATCGTGGCCACGCCTCATCCGTTATTCGTAATTAATACTTATAATTTATGATTAAAACATTAATTTTTCGATCATTTACTACTGGGTGTTCGTTTGATGTCATTATTCGTTAACTGTATCAGTTTTTTAGTTTCACTTTAAATGATTTGTTTAAAGAGAATTTTTTTAAAACTTATTACAAAAAATAATCTTACCATCCGCGTTTATGATTAGGGCGAGGTCAATTGCTAATTGTTCCTTGTAATGTTATGTTTTAAAATATGTATCATCAATTTTAAAGAAAGCATTGATAATTGCCTAATCATATATAGGTGCCTAATCCGCTGTTTTGCTGGAACTTTTTTGCTTATTGTTAGAAGCAACAAATTACTAGTAGGTACTTTTATTTTTTGTAACATTTATGTTTACAAAAGATAGCTTGTAACATATACTAAAGTTATAGTATTATTATGTAAGATGTGGTAAACTTCAATTAATAAATAAATATTATTATAATGATACTTCAAAGTTCAAAGTGTTTCCTATAGGAAACTAATATATAAACAGATCTATTTTACAAATCGTAGTTCCAATTATTCTTTTCACGTCTTTGAGCTGTTATTTTAGAATAATACTTTTTATTAGAAAAAGGTAGGCGAAGGAAAAAACTACTTCGGGTTAAAATATTTTTCCACGCTATGTTGTGACTACTTTTTGTATATTTATAAGCACTATCATAAAAATATTATCCTACCTGGTAATTAGGTTGCGGGGGCAAACGGGCAGGAGGCTCACATGTTAAGTGATACACTCTCAATGCGAAAAGGCTTTCAAGTGCGTGGCCGGCCTTAAAAGAATTGGTACACGCTTTTTCTGAACGACCCTAAATCGAATTGGTAACACGTAGTTGTGGTGCAGAAACTGCCTTAAATAACGCTCAGTTGCGGAAGTGACGTCGAGATGATATGAGTAGAATTTCGTATTCCGCCTCAACGTCCGATGATTAAACTCCGAACAACTCTGGGTACTTACTCTATTTTCATCAGGCTTTTTAGCAGGCTTAACTGCCAGAAAAACCCAATGCAAATTTAGGAAAAGGCAGCATTCTTGAAAGCACCTGCAAATATATATCTATTTTAAGATCCTACTTGGCACTTGAGATTTAGCCGACAGCGTAATTACATTACATCCGTCTGTCTGTAAATCGTGATTAACTTTAATTTGGACTATCGAGTGGTAATTGTTCAATCGGTAATTTAAAATAATTTCACCCTTGAGTTGTTAATAGTACCTACGCGAAATACTTTTTTAATTGTTTTCAAAGGCTTTAAGGCTGTTCTTAATTAGAAAACGTATGAGAGTATTTTTGTGTTGATCAGTAAGGAGTGGATATATTTTGTAAGCTTAAAGCTTTTTAACAATAAATAAATAAATCAGTATCGCTACAACCTTCTTAGGTCTGGGCCTCAGATTTCTGTATCTGTTTTATGATCATTTGTCAATCTAATAGGCGTAGGAAAGTAGGTGATTAGCCTTCTGTGCCTGACACACGCCGTCGACTTTTTGGGTCTAAGGCAAGCCGGTTTACTCACGGTGTTTTCCTTTACCGTTCGAGCAAATGTTAATTGCGCACATAGAAAGAAAGTCCATTGGTGCACAGCCGGGGATCGAACCTACGACCTCAGGAATGCGAGTCGCCCGCAGAAGCCACTAGGACAACAAAATTATTTAGTTACAAATAGGTCCTAAAAATATTATTTCATAATAAGCTTATCTATGTATATTCTCTCTATATTTCTCTCTCAATCGATTAATATTAAAAAAAAAATTAAGTAAGAATTACAGCTGACATCGGAATATTCTTCATCTTGTATAAAAGACATTACATAGCATTCACGAGATAAGTCCCGCTTTTGTGTACGTACATAATAATTCCCCTTTATGATTCTAATTCTATTCAGTGCGCGTGCGCTATGCCTCGCCTGCTATTGGCCAAGCCCCAGCCAATAAAGTACACTGCTATGAATAGGTATTGGGGACCGGATTTTGAAGATCCGTTGTAAATTCTGTATATGATATTAATATAAGGAACAACTCGCAATGATAACACAAGATCGAAAGTAAATTTTGTTAAAATACTAAACAAAAGTCCACTTTGAGACTTTGATTTTGATGGATCTAGAAAATTTTTGGTCAGTTATCTTTATTTGAAAGATGCATCATCATCATTGTACATATCGCCTTTTTATTAATATAAATTGTGGCACTCGCGTACACCTAAGACCAAAAAAAATATTTCATCTAGAGGAAATATTGTTATAATACTAAACAAGTCAAATCAAGGACGATAACTTTTTATCTTCTAGGAAGTGTGTTTCAGTGTGAACAGATCGCCTTTTTAATAACATAAATTTAGTATCGATCTGGAAACTATAATTTAAAGTTGTTTTTGATCAAAGGAAGCAAGGGCTACTGAAGCATCACTTCACTAACGAGACAAGCGAAAATTTCTCACACAAAAATACTCCAGTCACCCAAAAAGAAACATGCTATTAACAATGCGAAATATACCACTAATAATAACGTATCACTTTATAGAATTGCGTATGACTCGGCGCATTTGACAGCTGTCAAGTTTGATAGCTGCCAGATCGGACAGCTCGATGAAGACGTAAGGTGTCAGAAGTGTACAGAACCGGTAATTATGTTCGCGCCTTTTTTTAATTACACGGCGGAAGACGTAATGATTAGAAAACTTAAAAAATGATTCCATTTTTAAATGGCATAATTTATCCGTTGGTTCGAATGCATTCCCATTAACCCATATAAAAATTATCGTACAATTAAACATATTTTTTACTAATTATAAATTTTCTTAAGATGTCTAGAGCCGCAGATTATATAACAACATAAGTCCTCAGTACAAATCAAATTTCTTAAATCTTTTTTTTTTCTTATGTGAGCTTTGTTTTGTCAAATTTCAACTCATAACAGGTTAAAATTTAGGTAAACAAGTATATACATTATGAACGTCAACAGTAAGATGTTAAATTGATTTTAAATTTACATTTACCTACTACCAGTTCGGAAGTTAACAATAGAGCGGGCAAGAAGAACTAGAAAGAAACTCTCTGCCACTCCTTTTAATCGCCTAGTTTTGAGTCATACAAATTGTTTGAAGGTTTTTGAAGGAATTGTCAAATTTATAAAAAGCTTTATTGATTAATTTACATTTAACGAGGGCTTTGAATTTATTTAGTGATAATTCTCTAATTTCGCTTGGGAGTTTGTTGTAAAAACTAATTAAATTTATATATTATGAGTACGAATAGTTACGAATAAGCGTACGACTCGTGAGGATCAAAAATGTATCGCACTTTGAAAAACGAGAGTTATGTTTCGGGCTAAGTCTAGACTCTAAATCTTATCTTTAGAAGATAAACCCTTACTTTTCTAAAGTCGGTAAACTATGCAAAACAATGCGTTGAAGCAATGTGTAATGTGGAACAGTTTTAGTGAACATCTGCCTAATTTGCATAGAGCGACGGATTGTTCTGTCGATTCCGGTGATAACGTACCCTATCTACTGGCTTTTTACCGGCCAATCTCTATAGCTAATAATACTATTTATACAGTCTTCATACTCATTTTATTATTGTTATCGTATGAAACTCGATGCCGAACGTGTGTGCTATACATGTATTTTTAAATAAAGAGGGAAGATGTATGTTTGTAAGGAATAGTCAAAATATGATTTTAATAATTCTTTCACTGTTCGAATGTGAACTATATTTCTTTCCAAAATATTAAATCTTTAGCTGTTCGAAGCCTGGAAAGGCAGGGCTTATAGTTGGATTTCAACTAATACATAAATAATCAAAATGTATTTATTTGTACTAAGAATTCGTATAAATTGGAACTGTTCTTGTCACCGTGTTAGAAGCATTATTAAAAATAGTATAATACTCCAAATTGTCTAAAACACAAAGATATCTTTGTAGATTGCATATAATGTTGCTATACTCGTAATTACCTATATTTCTTGATGCAAGTAGCATCGGTTTAGTTTTTGCTTGATTTTTTATTATGTTGAAATATAGAGTAGCTACTTATAAAACCTATAAGAAAAAATAAATATTGTCGTATATATAAATACTGCACTTCATCATATGGATGTATATTATATTATTTAATACCTTTGGTAGTATAAAATAAGACCAAAAAATTACTCACGAAATCAAAAGAAGTATTTTTTATAATAGGTAGAAGTCAACTTACCTCTGGATAGATTTTATTAAATTAACTGTTAAAGTTAAATGTTACTATTTGGTTAAAATAGTTGATTTATATTATATAGGATAGAATAAAAGAAAATGTATAAACAGACTTCGTGTATTTACAAACATGAATGTGTTTTACAAATTTAACAATAATTTATTGAATTTCTACTACAACTAAACTTAAACTAAATTAAAATTAATACTTTCACGGCAAGATGTTTTACATAAATTATACCTTAAAAATAACAATAATCGGTAGGACGGATTGCTGATAAAAGTAATTTTCCAAAACTTAATTACATAAGCGTAAATTTGCAAAAAGCACAAAGGTTAGTCTAGGGTGGTAACGTGTTAAATGCTAGTCATAAATATCCCTGTACAGCTATAATTTGGCAGATTACCTATAATCTCATGCTGGCTTCATTTTCAATGTACAATTACAACTATTTCTTACGAATAAACTGCACAACAGCTCACATAAGAACCTTTGCCTAACAATATCACTTCACTCCACTACTGCAATAGTTCATACAACGCCGCGATGTAAGTCTGAGCCATTTGCAGGGTTTCGTACTTGGACAGTTGACGATCGGCTCCCAGAGACGGCAAGTGGCCTCGTAGTCTGTCGAAGGCTTTATTGAGGTTCTGCATTCGCCGCCTCTCCCTGGCGTTAGCGGCTAGACGACGACGTTTCAACACAGCAGCGCTGGTTGCACGCCCTCGACGTTTCCCAGAGCCTTCGTCTAGATCTTCTTCTTCCAGAATGTCATTTGGTACACCTCTATACGCGATGTGGGTCGATTCGTGGTTGCCGTCCAATGAAGACGTGGGCTCCAGACTAGAGCGTCCAGAGTCCGGTGACCTCGGCCAATTTAAGTAGCACTCCTCAGTGGAGTACTCCAACATAACATCGGACGAAAAGATGTCCTTTTCGGAGTATAAAAGTCGATGTCCGTAAGTATCGGTTGCCATTTTGACACAGGTGCACAGTTTGATGTCCCGAAGGGTTCTGCCGCTCCCGTTTACCTGTCAACCCTTATATATTTTCCCGGTATGTTGGAACGAGCGAGGTGAGGATTGCGGTGTGTGTTAGAAAGGGACGAACGACGAGATCGAGAGGGTAATTTGAGGGCAATCATCATTAATTATTTTATTCTTGGGGCAGTGCGTGTGCCGATACTATTGTTTGACGCTCGACTTTCCGTGCCAACCTATTTTTGCCTTTTGCAATAGTTCAGTAACTATTGATAAAAATTATTCAATAGCTTTATAACATTTATTATATAATACCCAGTGGGATTCTATTATTGTAAATTGTTCTAAATTCAGATTAAAACTGATAAATGTGGATAGAATATCGTCGCTGAAATTTCTGATAATAATTATTTATTGTTTTGACGTAATCGTCGCAGTAGCTGAATGGATCCGAACAGCGCGAATATCTGGGTTCATTTCTTGGGTAGAAGCTAAAGATAGCCTGCTTTTTAAATAGTATCCTAATTAAAGGCGCAATGTATTAGAAATGAAATAATGTGATTTAGTGACGAATATGATCATTTATTAGTAATCATAACAAACAAATATATAGTAGGTATATACAATTTTCTTAACCTACATAGTAATAATAAAAATAATTAGCAATTAATACAAATAAATTTAAAAAGTTTGGTCCCTGTGGCAGTGTACCTTTAACGCTGGCAGCAGTTCTTCGCTGTATTGCGATACTTAGTCGTTGAGCGAGGAAAGCACCAGCTCTGGGGTCACTGGTACCTACCAGGTGCCAACTTAAATCTTTAATTAGCGTCTGTGCACTTGAACTCCACGGCCCAAGTTTCTACTCTAAAGGGAATAAATTCCAAGTTGGAGGAAAGACTCTTTTATTTACGAATTAATATGAACCTACACTTTTTGCATTAATCTATCAAATTCAGCGCATAATTACAATTTTGAATTTTGATAAAGTAATTAAAATAAAACTAATTAAATGAGATAAGCTGAATGAAATGTTCACGTGAACCAGTCACCATTTGACACCGGAGGGAATCGAACCCGATATAGTTTTCAGTTAAGTCGCGAGGTGGGTGAAACTCAACACGAGAGAGTAGGTGGCCTGAGATTTACAAAGATCTTTAATTATGGATACAACTTTTGATTAATATAATTGGTACATTTTCATCGATATTAAAAAATTGTTTTATAACAAAATGAAATTTATACAACATATGTGGATAAATAATAGCTTATTTATTAAATCAACTGTTTTAATAGATATGTAATTTAAGTAAAAAAAATAAAATCTTTGTTATTTTTTTATAATTTTTATTTATTTATTAAAGTTCACCTTTTTATTTTATAATTTACAATCTATCTATATTATAATTGTACAAAAATTATAATATAGATACCCAGATTAGTGCTAATATTTTTTTTTAAATGTTCAAACTTTTAATTTAAGATAAAAATAAAATTATATATTAAGTATAATAATAAGATATGTATGCCATATTTTTAAATTTTTTTCTTTATAATCCACTATATATTTCAAAAAGCTGCAAACACTTGCTCTCTCCATACTTATATAGCTTCGTGTGAGTTTTCTACCCCCGGTGGTCCAGTTGATTTTCAGAATCTCACAGTTTTGCAAATTTACATATCAATATAAGAATATATATTGACTATTATATATTTTGGACATTTCATCACGCTGGTATCTACGCCATAGAACTATGGATAAATATAACACAAATTAAGAGTGTTTAGAGCTGTTCGGATTAACCTGCAGTTGAGTTTCATCATCGGACGTCGAGGCAAACGAAATACCACCTCGTTCCACATCAGGCATCAAAGCAGTTTTTGCCCCGCACCACCACTGAAGTATTTCTGAACCAATTCGCCGGTAACGCACTCCCGAGCCTTCAGGTAATGTAAGTGTCCATGAGCGGTATCACGTAACATCAGAAAAGCCTCCAACCTCCGTTATATATAAAAAAATCACTTATAAAACTGTGTAACAACTACCTTTTTTACTTGCACATTGTTAGTTAGTAAGTAATCTATACGTGTAGATCATGTAAGAGATACTATCTAATACACATTGCGTCCTGGCATGGAACTCTGAAGTTCTAATAGTAATTATAATCGCAACAGATTTGTATGCAATTTTGAAATTCTCTGATGTCGCTACTTTAATATCTGCGGTACGACAAGTCAACATAGAAATCCTTCTCTCCCAACACAGTTCCTTACGTCTATTTAATTATAAAAAAACCCATCAAATTATAACCTCCTCTTTTGGTATTTTGAAATCATCTAAAATCATAATGATTATATATATATACAATAGAAATGTAATCTGAAGAAATATTTAATTGCATTTATTTAATGTTTAGCCGCAGAATTGTTGTAGTTGAAGAAGGCATGAGATTTAATTGATTAGATTCAAAAAATCATTGAACTAGCTTATATTGAAACTAAAAACGATGACCTAGACCTACCGTAACATTAGTATTAGATTACGTAAGCTTGGAAGTACCAAGATCACTTTCGATTATAAACTGGTTCAAAATCAACACATAGAGAACTAGACGATAGACGAATATTTTTGCAAATACCATCTAATCTTACATATAATCTTCTAAAAACTAAAACATTTAAACTTATTTTTTTCATGGTTTCACCGTTGCTTAACAACCGTTAGGCAGAGACCATAGCGTAAAGACACAACAAACTGACCGTTCCCGAACTTCCCGGAGTAATTTTTTTTCCAAAATAAATTTTTATTCAAGATAAAGCACTCAAAGTCCGTAACAATCATAGACTAGCTATTTATGGTATTGGACCCTTATTTTATTTAATGATGTAGATACTAGAATGTTTTGTATAAGCTATATAATATATAGCAGTTGTGAACTGGCAGTAAATGTAACATTAGAAGCATTTAGCATTTAAAATGAATTTCTTTATTGACGTTCGTAAGTGTACATTGTGTTACTTATATGAATAAATGATTTTGAATTTTAATTTGAATTTGCAGCATAAACAATAACAGCTCAGGTAATATGTTTTATCGTATGTCAAATCTGTCACAACTATGTCTAAATATTAAGAACGGGTTGATTCAGGTCAAAACCGTGGTTTTTTGCATCATTTTCCGCGTCATTAAGCCGCCAACACGGCTCAGATTTCGAAAAAAAAAACGTCCTCACGGGCTAAAGTGCCCACTTGCCACGGTGGCTTTGTGGGAAACACAATAAGCACATCGTTTGAGATCGCCATGATTTTGATTTCGTTAATTGTGTAATGATATTTCGTAAGACTGCGACGTGCGATCTGAAGTTTTTTTTATATAATAAGGTCAATTGTTTATTTACTTATTTATAAGTTATCTTACAGCTACACATATCCATATTATAAAAGAAAACACTTAGACAATATACAAAGCCAAAACAGAGTTGTTTGGCATTGTATATTGGCTAAGACAGCAGACATTGTTAAACAAAATATACGAAACCGAAAACATACGTCAATTAAATACATTAAAAAAGAAAACTGAAATTAAACATTAAACAAACTACAAATAAATTGTTACTACTACTATATAAGCTGCAAATTCTTCCCGCTTCTTAAAATATTTCCTTACTCTTTGGTAACGTGGAAAATGTCAACACCATCATAAATTATATTGTTGCTAAAACTCGAAACATTGGAAAGAAAGAAAGTAATTGTCATTAGTTTTGCAGCTCCGACGAATCATCTAGCACCAGTCTTCCAGGTCAGGTATGAAGGAATTATTCTTGGTCATACACCAACATATCGGAAAAATTATTACCTAATATTGTTTTTGAGTAATGCGTGTAGCGAGTAGGTAATAATTAGGGGGACTGTTCTAGTTAATATTAAGGAGATCTTGGAAAATATTTTCAATGCGGTGTCAATACAAATATAACTATTGATATTCAGACGAAACCAAGTCGAATGTAACGGGATGCCGCAGTAAGTCAAGCGTGGTAATCCCAACAAAAACTCGTGGAAGGGGTCGTTTGTAACTGTATACAGTTAGCGAAGGGTTAACCGTTATGCTGATCACTTGTTCCGGGTTACTTCCGAAAAAATATCGTAACTTATTGGATACCCTTTACTGAAAAGGCAATCATAGATGCATGAGTTAAAAACGTCATAAGGCGCCTGTTACACGTTTATTTACTGTGATTCGTCAGTTCAGTATTTGTTGATAGATGCTGCTTTTAATGATGGATGAATACACCAGACACACGTTCCATATTTATTATAGTTCGGTTTCTTGCTGAAAACGGACACAGAGATAATAATTAAAGCTTGTGTGGCTTTATTTTAGCAATTGGTTTAAAAAAAAGTTAAAAGAAGACGACGGTCAAAATAATGGTATCTACAAAGAGAAAGGTTTTTATACCATTTAAATTTAATGTCCGAAATTAATGATTATGAAAATTGTTTTCGAATGCCCCATATCTGCTTTGAACAACTTCTATCTCTATCTATCTCTTATCTATCTATCTACTTAGAAGCATATTATTGTGTTAGGTATTCAAGTAGATCTAAAATAGTTGAAAAGTGAACCTATTGAGATTAAACGTTCAATACTCGTATTTATCACATTCTTACGCCTTTAGTACACCTACGCGTTCGTATGCGGCTGCGAATCTTTGCGAAATAATTGCGGTAGCGAAATATCTGCGGAACGTTAGTACACTGCAGGTTTTTCGCAAGGATATGTCATTGTAGCTTTCGTCGCTTTCAGATTCTGAAGAGGATTTTGTAATCAACATGCCCAACTAAATATAATTCGGGATAATTTCGAATCAAATTCATTAATAATTCAATATTTTCGGCTTCCATTGTGCGAAATTCTGTCCTCACTGACAGAACGCGTGGTGACGCCTTGCGATGCGAAACTTCATTAGCGAAACGTCTGCGTCTGTGTAACAGCCATTTCG